CCCTCCCCCGGCCGTAGCCTCCTCCGGCGGCAGCGGCGGTGCCCGCCGGCCCCATGGCGGCGGAGCCCCAGCCCAAGGCGCTGACTCGCAAGCCCCTCCTGCTCAACAAAGTGGAGGGGTCGCAGGAGGTGGTGAACATGGCAGCGATAGTGCCCAAGGAGGACGGAGTCATCAGCGTCTCCGAAGACAGGTACCGGGGAGCCGGCGTTCAGCGGGGCCGCGCGGTGGTCTGTCACCTCCCGCCACTGCCGCCGCTGATGGTGGCAGTGCTGGGCCCGCGGCGCGGGGTCCGGGCTGGCTGTCCCCCATCGCCAGCAGCCCCGCCGGGAGGTGGTGGGTCCCGCCGGAGAGGGATGGCGGTGGCAGACCACCAGCATCCCTGTGCGACTGTAGACTACACCACCCGGGGCACGGGCAAGCGTCAAGGTGGCGGTGGACCAGCATGGGGACATTGCTTTAGGCAGACGCATCACGTCCTGGAGGGGAAAGAGCCTGGAGCAGGGGTCTCCAGTAGTGTCCCACTTCTCCTCCTTCTCTGTCGCTCTGTGGGTCAGGACAGTGACCGGGCTGGGGCGCCCCTGAAACTTGCGGGACTTGAGTGACTTTTCTTATCGTGGGTAAAATGGGATTTGGGATCTCCTTCATCACGAGGATTGTCGGGGAGTCTGTGGAGGTCTTTGACCTTGCCTAAAGATTGTGGTGGCATTGGCTGAAACAGTAGTTTTAGTTCCCGTTTCCCCTCTTCAAACGTTTCTTGGTAATTGTGTAAAAATACCGTATATCAGTGATAAGATCTTGGAGTTAAATCCCGTGTTGAAGAGCTGCCAAGGAAGAGAATGCTTTCAGGCTCTTTAGCAGGGCTGCGAAGGGACTGAGGCTGCCCACAGGCAACTCTGTCTCTTCTGAAAGAGCTCAAACTTCATTCAGCCTTGCAGCTGAAGCTTGCTTCAAAATTCTATCTTGAAAATCTTTTATTTCAAAATAAGTGCGTCTTTTTCTTGCAGTGTCTATAAATAGTTATTTTAAGCAAGGTTTCTTTATAGCTCAGGTGTACTGTGTAACCTGTGTCCTAAGATTGAAAGACACATGTTGTTGACCAGCATGTCAATATGTTTTGATACTCACAGGGTATTTGGATGGGCTGTTTTTCATGGATGCCTGTTGTTCTGTTGAGTGTCTGCTTTTATGTCTCTGCAAGCTTTCTGAAAAACTTACAGTATTTTCTTTCATCTTTGTCCTCACTGTGTGACTTAGTTTTCAGCTGTCAAATATGTGCAATTTTAAGATCATTTAAGTTCACCTAAGCTGAGGTCTCAAAGTGAATGCTCATATGCCTGGTAGCAAGAAGAGCTGAGCTCCTTAAAACAAGTATACTGTCAAAGGAACTTTAAGTAGAGTTTTACATTGTTACGTGCTCACAGTTTTATTGCCTTCACATTTTTTATGCATTTAAAGTGATGCTTTGTTTTGGTTCAGTGTAGCTTGTTAGGCTTACTTAGCCAATTCTTTTTACCTGTAAGAAGGTATTCCTGAAATTTATTTCCTCTTGTATAGATGTTTCTCTCAATCTCTGCATTCCCCCTCACATTAGCAAAAATAACTAGCTTTAGTTGCTGATAACAGGTTGATGTTCCAGGTTGATATTTCTGTGTAGGGAAAGGGATTGATGAGACATCTTTATTTTCACTAGTAACTGAGATATCAGCATCAAGAAACAAGCAGTGAAGAAGAAGCCAGGAGTTTCACACTAGAAAAGTCTGGAGATTCCCAGGTTATTTTCTGTTTAAAGGAATTAACCAGGTAATGTGCCTGCTTGCGGGGCTTGTTTGCAGTATCCTTGACATGCTACAAGCTATGATCCTGCCATTTATTTCTTTAGGCATGAAGATGTTGGTTGATGGGTCTTTCTTTCATTTTCTGCTTGCATTAGCATTTTTATTGTAATTGAAAGGTTAGGAGTCTAAAACTGACTTGGAAGGAATAGCAGGTTGAGAGTCTAACTTGCAGGTTTTAGGCTACCTGGGGTGAAAGCATAATTTGCCAGGCTTTCAATACCTGTGTATTATGATTAGGCTTTTGCAGATCCTTATGGCACCTTTTCCTGTTTGGACTTGCCTTCTCATGTCAGTGTTGACATGGTTGTTTAATGGCCTTGGAATGTGGAGGGGTTTTAGAGCTTCCTGGAAACTGTTAAGGATGGTTATGGAGATGTTATCTGTCCCTTTACTTGTTAACCAAATAAGTAAGTTTTGTCCACATTTCCCAGCCTGTGATACGCACTGTTCATATGAGGAAAATGTTCTGAAACCTTTGCAGAGAGCTTCAGCTGGAATGACTTGCCATCTCCAACACTTGCTTCAGGCTGGGACATCTTCTGTAGGTGAAGCAGGAATTGTTTTGCTGGTGAACAGCTGAGCACATTTACTGAGGTTGCTGGTAGTCTTTGCATACGCAACAGCTAGGTACCACTTTAAAGGTTTTCTTTGCTGCATGATGTGGGCCTATACATCTAAATCTTTAAAAGCAGGAGCTAGCTTGGTCTCTGGTCTGAATTTAATATGACACTGGTAGTGTTATCTAGTTTTAAAATACACAAAAGTGGTTTTAGCTATAGCTTGCAGACATAGTCATGGATTATATAGCCCTGCATGTCTGTAGCACATATATGCATATATTTTAAGAAATAAAATGAAAACTATGTAATAATAGAGAGTGTGATTATTCCTCATAAAGAAGGACAAAGAGGGAGGGAAAGAAGGAGTAAAGGGGGAGAGGGAGCAGGTTTACATATTTAATTAGATTGTCAAAACTTTGTATACCCTGCAAGGTTGGAGCTCCTTTTTAGTGTGTGGCATCTGTACAGAACATGCGCACAGATTTTCTCTTCTGAATCCTGGTCACTCCTGATAATTGAGTAATATTCATTATGTCCTAATCTTAAGAGGGTTTTCTGATTCTGTATCTGAGCAAAATAGACTGAGCCTGTATCTACAGTAGAGCTGGTATGCACTGGACAGATAAGATGTTTTGTGTTTTTCTTCTAAGGAAAAGGATGCACTTGTCTAAACAGGTGAGAGTTAAATAAGTGGCAAAATTAGATATCCAGGAATGTATAAATCTAATGTAGGATGACTCTAAGAAGTTACTAACTTTCATCCATGCTCTTTCCCTGCCAGCAAACACATGGAATCGACAGACATATGTAGCCAAACATGTAGAGTCTTGAATGATCCATAGCACTGTATGGTGATGTGGAGCTAAAGTGGGATTTTCCTAATGTGCGCAGCTGATCCTAAGTTGTCATCAGCTTCCTCAGTATTAAAAGCATGCACTACCATTTCAAAATTGTGGAGCATCCTTGGTTTTGTTGCCTTCAGAGGGAGACGTGGGTGTTGGGCATGTCTGAAAAGTAGGTCGCTGGTATGTCAAGTTCAGACATATCTAATTCCATGCTCCAGAGAAGATTTAGTGTCATTAATCTTACCTGAGCATGGGATACAGTGGGACAAGGGCACTGACTCACCCAGCTTTCAGTGCAAGCAGTTCTGCTCAGCGCTGGCACACTTGTGGGTTTCTCAAGAGCCTGCCAGTGCTGTGAGTGCTAATTCAGCAGGGCCTCCAATGTGCAGATCGTGTGTCACTGTGCTAGGCTGGCAGGGGGGGCTGCGTGTCATCGTGGTAAACCTGCACTTTGCCAATAACCCTCTTTTTTACCACTAGCTGGATTGTAAGTGAGAAAAACTCAGTCACAGAGGCTGTTGTAAACAGCTTTCCTGGTGATTATGAACTCTGGTCTGTGTCCTCTTGTGGGTGGGAGTTCTGTGCTCACTTCCGTGCTACAGACCCTCTAAATGTAGGTGTTGCAGTCAAGAACTGTTCTCCTTGAAGTATTCACAAGAAGTAAAAGTTATCACAGTCAACTGAAAATTGTCCAAATCCTTTTATTTTAAAAAATGAGCATTCTAGTCTCTTAGAAGGTGACAAGACCTAGGAGAAAAATATTTATCCCATAGCTTTTTATAATTTTATTTAATTTTTTTTGTATTAAGGGGGTAGAGAACTTTGTCTTCTCCATTACCTTGTATTATCTTAAGTTGTTTTTGAACTCAGATGTCCCAGCTTCTTCATATGGATCACTGTATAAACAGTGAGCCCAGACTGCTTAACTTATTAGTGTCTTCATCTCACATATAGAAAATTGTGCAGAGCTTGTATTGCTAAGTTTGGCTTAGAGTTTGACGGTTTTAAATACAGATGTGCCCTTCAGCTGTTGTCCAAAGCTTGTGTTCTGGGTGTGCTAACTAGCAGTTTTTTAGGGGGCATGGCAACTTAATGTCCAGCTTGTGTAAATGGAAACCTCTTTGCTAAACTAACAGTGGGCTAGGAATGGAAATATGCATATGTGACAAGAAATGTGAGAGTTGTCTTTGGCTTTGTGCTGACATGACTTCTAACACGAAGAACTGTGATCTTTCCACCCTTAAGCATATCAAAACCAATCTTATTCTCATTGTGGTTTTTCTGTCCAGATCCAGAACATTGAGCATACAGCATCACAGTTCATTCCTGTGAAAAAGCTCTAATGGTAAGGTAGGATTCTTCACACAGTGCTGCATTCAGGCAGGGTACAAGGAACTACAGACCCTTGGTAAACTGAGTTTCCTTTCTCTTGTGGTGGAGTGGTAGAAAGCGATTGCTTTCCCCAGCAGTGTGGTTCCAGTTACAGGTCTGTAATACAGATGATTGCAGCATGAGCAGTGGCAGCTCAAGCAGTGGAGAAGGTGTGGGTGGCTCTTCACAAGTGTAAAAGGACTTGTTCCTGTTGCCTGGAGGTTCTTTAAATGTCAATAAAAACATCAGTCACCAATAAAATTGTTGATAGGAATTGTAGAGACCTAGTGCTGTAGATGCAATTTGGTTGCTTTTTTTCTTTTTTTTTTTTTTTAAGTAAATTTTTTGGATGTGTTGTAATTTGATGAGTGTGTGTTTCGAATAAAGGTCAGGGTGGAGGTTCGTGCTGGCTGTTTGCGAGGAAGAAGCGGATGCTGGCAAGAGGCTTAAGAGAGGACAGGAGGTCCAAAAGTGCTTGGAATCAGACATTGTTGCAGATGTTGAAAATTGTTCCTGATTTGACTAACATGTATCTTGTTGAGATGCCAAAATCTGAGACTAGCACGTAAAATGTCTTGC